TGGAATTGTAATATGATTATGGCGAGGATTAAATAATTATCTTTTGCTTATGATAGATTATGGTATATTTCCTATTTAATAGAGAATATAATATATTTTGAATCTACACTTACTCGTTTATACCGACCCAAGATATTCAATGTATCAAATGTTTTAATTTTTTGAATTTAGGCCTAATTGAACCGCCCACTCTAGTCTAATCACGTATACTTTTACAAAATTTGCTTATGCTTTAGAGAATCTCCAACCTACCTCTATTTTTTATTCTAAACTAGACTAATATATAACATTGCTCTATTTTTTCTCTAACTCATTTCTATTGTTAACCCTAAAATAAAAAAATACTATATTGTGCTTTTATTTTTGAAAAAAAGAAATAGATGGATATTTTCTTTTACTCTAAAATAGAGAAAAAAAAATAGACGAACCGCCCACTCTAGTCTAATCATAGAGTAAAGTTTCCATATATTTAAAAACCAAAATTAAAAATCTTACTGAACGTGTGTCTTGTTTTTTTTTTTTAATTAAATTTTTGACACGAGTCAAAAACTAGATATGATTTTATTATACATTGAAACCACTTAACTATTAATCATATATGCTGCTATAGAAACAAAATAAAAAGGAAATACAAGAAAATCTAGTACTTGTCGAAAAGGAAATGTAAGAAAAGAAGAAGAATTCTGAATTCCAAATCATATTGACTTAATTTTCTTTAGTTATAAAATAGAAATGGATTTATGTAAAGTTAAATTTCCACTTTATTTTTTTTTTATAAAACAGTAAGTCAATAACCATAGTAACAAATATTATTTTCTTTAGTTATAAAATAGAAATGGATTTATGTAAAGTTAAATTTCCACTTTATTTTTTTTTTATAAAACAGTAAGTCAATAACCATAGTAACAAATATGTATTGGTAGGAGTACTGCTGGTCCACGTTAGGTTTTAAGACTGAGCTCGACGTGACTACGGTTTCCTCATCAGATGCAACGGCGTCACTCTGTCGATGGAAGAACCTAGGGCCTCAGTTCCACCTTTTTTTTTATTGTTGAGAGATTCTACTTGTATAAATGTGTAGAATTTTCCTCTTTATAAGGGACTTCTTTCTTAATACGTAGGTGTATTTTTTCTTTCACTTCTATCTTTTTGAGTTCATAGAAGGGCCACATATTTTTATTAAGAGTTGCTTTATGTGAAATTCCCTTATTTTCAGTTGTGTTTAACATCGATCGATCGCCTATAAAAATCTATCTTTAGCTAAATGATGAATGTTCAATCGGTCAATTGCATGAAGGCTGATGGATCGATCGGGCTTCATATGCTGGGCTTGCTTCACCTCTAACACTCATCGACTAGTTTTTAATAAATAAATCACATCTTGAGATTGTATCGTTAAAACCGACACTTCCATTTATATGGTAGTTAAAATTGAGTTTGATCTAAAGATGCATGCAAAACATTTGACGTACATAATATGTTATGGAAAATCGCATAAAAACCCTTCAAAGTGGTTATCACTTACACTTTAAACTTCCAAGGTTTTCTACTATCAGTTTAAACCTCCAAAATCGTAATATTGACACTTTAAACCTCCAAGATTATGTACGCGCCGTTAAATTTTTTAACGAAACTGTTTATTATTCGTTTAAAAATGATGACGTGGCTT